CCCCAGACTGTAAGAGGGCACAGCCCGGGCTGAGGGATCCCGCCCACCTCCCCCCCGCCAGTGCACAAATTTTTGTGCACTGGGTCTCTAGTATATTATAAAGATTGTTATGTAGAGATTATATAGAAAAATATAGATGATAGATGAGAGATAGATAGATAGATAGATAGATAGATAGATAGATAGATAGACAGATAGATAGATGATAGATAGATAGAATAAGATACAGGAAAAGTAGCTTGAGGTCTGAGGAAATAAACAACTAAACAAATAGTCCAAAGTAACAAAGAAGCTTAGAAAACATTTTAGGTAAATAATGCTACAAATAGACTCTTAGAACAGTCAGTTTTCCATCCTGACTTTCCACAAGTTACCCATTACAGAATAGCTCATTTATTCTAAGGGCAAACTGACAAAGAAGATCCCTTAATCTAGTGGGAAGAGGGGAGTAGCGGGATTGAGAAAAAAAGGAAAAAAGGGAAAATCTCATGGGCACAGACAACAGTGTGATGATTTCAGAGGGGAAGGGGATGAGGAGAAGTGGAGGAGGGTATAGGGTGGATAAATGGTAATGGGCAGAAACTTGACTTTGGGTGGGAAACACACAATACAGTGTACAGATGATGTGTTATAGAATTGTACACCTAAAACCTGTATAATTTTGTTAATCAGTGTCACCCAATAAATTCAATTAAAAAGAAAAAATATAAAAATAAAAATATTTAGTGACTTTAAATAGACAAATAGCCATGGCCGGTTTGGCTCAGTGGATAGAGCATCGGCCTACGGACTGAAGGGTCCCAGGTTCGATTCCAGCCAAGGGCATTTACCTTGGTTGCGGGCACATCCCCAGTAAGGGGTGTGCAGGAGGCAGCTGATGGATGTTTCTCTCTCATCCATGTTTCTAACTCTCTATCCCTCTCCCTTCCTCTCTGTAAAAATTAATAAAATATATTTTTTTTTAAAAAAAAAGAGACTCAATCTATGCTGCACAGTATCAAAATACATCTTGGAATTTGTATTTGCCGTGGAGAATCCACAAGTTACATAAACTCAATATAGTAAGGATAAAATCCGCCCATTTCTACCTGGCCCTGACCAGCAGACCTCCACCCCGGAATCCCTGTGCACACACCCAGCTGCAGCATCACTTGG